CCTAGCTCCACTCCCACATCACCCCCCTAGCTCCACTCCCCGCGGCTCCCACACCTCCACCCCCCTCAGCAGCAGCTGCAGCAGTGGGAGACGAAAAAAGGAGGAGGGGAAAGGGAAGGGGAGCACCCACATCTCGCACCCCCATGCTCGCCACCCCACACCCCCACCACCGTGGAACGCACGGCGGAATGGGAGCAATGGGCAGCACAAGGGGGGGGGGGGGGGGGACGGGACGGGCTGCAGGGACGGGCCACGGGCTGCTGCAGGGGCAGCTGGCGCGGGTCCTGGGGCGGCTGCTGCAGGCACGGGCTGCTCCAGGGGCGGCTGCTGCAGGTGCGGGCTGGTCCTGGGGCGGCTGCTGCAGGCACGGGCTGCTCCAGGGGCGGCTGCTGCAGGTGCGGGCTGCTCCAGGGGCGGCTCCAGGGGCGGCCGCTGCAGGTGAAAGGTAGGAGGAAGGGGGGGGGGAGAGCGCGGCCCCCAGGGCGCCCCGACGGGCGACGAGAAAGGGAGCCGCGCGGCCCCCCAGGGCCGCCGCGACGGGCGACGGGAAGGGCGCCGCGCGGGCCCCCAGAGCCGCCGCGACGGGCGACGGGAAGGGCGCCGCGCGGGCCCCCAGAGCCGCCACGACGGGCGACGGGAAGGGCGCCGCGCGGGCCCCCCGGAGCGCCACGACGGGCGACGGGAAGGGGAGGCCGCGCGGCCCCCGCGGTCGCCCCGACAGGCGACGGGAGGGGGGGCCGCGCGGGCCCCCGTGGTCGCCACGACGGACGACGAGAGGGGAGGCTGCGCGGGCCCCCGTGGTCGCCACGACGGACGACGGGAGGGGAGGCCGCGTGGGCCCCCGTGGTCGCCACGACGGACGACGGGAGGGGAGGCCGCGCGGGCCCCCGTGAACGCCACGACGGACGACGCGGAGGGGTAAGCCGCCACGCGCCCCGAGCGCGCGGCGGGCAGAAACCCTAATTTCGGCGCCGCGCACCACGGGGCGCGCGGCGGACAGTACGGCAGCGGAAGCAGGTGGTGGGCCCATACACAGGAAGGCGGCAGACATGCCGCCCTCTGATACCATGTCAAGACCAGTGGGCATCAGGACTAGGCCGAAACAAACACCCCATAGCATAGGTGTCCTTGGCAGCGGACAAGGCAGAAGTCAAGGAAGGTCGGGTGGAGGGGTGCAGAGTGGGGGGGGGGGGGGGGGGGAGTGAGGTTGGGTAAGAAAAGGGTTTCTGAACAGGTGGGCGATCTGCACTGCAGCAACGCAAGCTCCCTGATGGAAACGAACAGAGGTGACTTTTGAGTCAGTTTTGAGTCGACTCAAAGTCACCTCGCGATTTGCAGCAGCGCAAGCTTCCTGGTGGAAACCAACAGGATCAGCGCAAGGCCCCATCAGCAGGGCCTTGGGTAGTTTCTAGGGGACAAAGGGGTGGGTGGACAAGTACAGGTAAGGGGATAGGGAGAGGGTGTATGTGTCGGGGGAGAAAGGTAGTTCCCGATAGTTACAGCACACTGCAGTGGGGCTCAGGGTTTAAGGCTTGGGGTTTCAGAGTGAAAAACCTACCTGCAGAATAGGCAGGGCGAAAGCAGCCGTTTTCCCACTGCCGGTCTGAGCCACACCAATCACGTTGCTCCCCGCAACGACGGGGGGGATGCACGCGCACTGCACTGGGGTGGGATGGCGCAGACCCATCTCATGACACGTGGCGACCAGCCACGGCGCCAGTGCCAGGTCAGCGAAGGAGTCACACGTGGCAGTGGCTGACAGGGACACATCGGCCTTGGCGAGAAGGGCAGTTGCTGCTGCGTCGTTCTCCTCTGTTCCTCTGCCCTCTGCTTTCTCTTCCCTCCCCTCTTCCTCCTCCTCCTCCTCCCCTTCACAACCATCATCCATCTCCTCTTCCCCTTCCTCTTCCACCTCCCCCTCTTCCTCTCCTCCTCCCTCCTCTCCATCCTCCTCCCCCTCCTCCCATTCTCCATCCGCCTCTCCACCAACCCCCGCCTTCCCCCTCTTCCCCCCGCCCACCCGCTTCCGCCGTCCCCCGCGCCCCCTCTCCCCCAATGGCTCCCTCGCCTGCGCGCCATCTGTGCTGACGTCACCTGCCTCCTCACCACCCCTGACGTCGCCACGTGTATGCCCTATCCCGTCCACGTCAGCACCGCAAACACCCCTCTGCGACTCCTCGCCTCCCCGTAAAACTCCGCCTTCCGTTAGATCTCCCTCCTCGTTTCCTCCTCTCGACCCCTTAAACCCTACACCTTGAACCCTGCGCGCAGTCAACGAATTTACACTCAATGCTTTTTTATGCGAGCCTAACGAGGGATCTGCCGGACGACTAGCCTTAGCTTTACTCGTATCGTCAACCCCTAATGCTTTACGCTTCTTTGCACCATGACCCTTCGCAACAGCACTGGTGGGGCTTGCTGCTGATAACCTATCTCGTAACGACTTCGCTCCCTTATCCGTGGCCTCGTCGGCCGTCCCCGTTACAGTCACGCTCGTGCGCTTCGGAGCATTCTGAGCCACGCCCTCTCCGCTTTCCGATCCAGCTGCGGTTTTTTTCGTCTTCTTTGCTTTCAGGAACTTCGACGAGAACACGGGAGGCGCTTCGAGCGCCATCGCAACGACCCAGGAATGGTTGCCTGCAACGGTAACTACTCCGCAACCACCGGCTAATGAGTTTGTATGTAGCTCGATTTGTCACCTCAATAGGATCGAGCTTGGTACAGACCCAAAACTCGATTTCGCTACAATAGGGTAACGTGAAATGACGTAAACCAATCGATCGAGTCAAGTGCTGATCACGGGTGGATGTTCAGCTGGAGACGACTGGTTCTCAGCACCTCCCAAGTGCCTTTCATTCGTTTCGGGTGAAGGCCTCCAAGTTTCCACGACGCGGACCTCGGACAAGGCTCTGCTTGAACCGAGTGCCTACAGAAACCTGCCCAAGTCTGAAGAAGGGTGGTCCCAAGACGATATATACCCGGTAACATGGCCAGGGTTTGTGGCGACCTGGAGAACATCATTTGTGTCGCGACTTGCGACTACAATTATCATTTGCGATATTCTCGCCAGAATCGACAATCGCTAGAAGAGCGCTGCGTCGTTGTTCTTCGCAAACTCTTTGTGAGTTAGAAACGGCTTTCACATCCCTCAACAGAAGAAACGGGCGGCTTGGATTAACTCCTGAAGCCGATCCGTTGAATTATCAGTCAGCTTTTGCGAATTTGTAAGCGAGGAGACGGTATAGGAGGACAGTCAAATTACACCTTGCGACACTAGCCCTCTCACGGCAATTCAGTGTTCACCCCGCACGCGTTTTACCATGGCTGTCGGTGATCGTGGGGTGAGTCCACCACCGCCCTACAGAACCTACAGTGATGACCACTGGCCGTGTGGTGATCAATCAATCAGTGAGCACGTTCGTGGAATCTCACTCAAGGAGCCCGAGAAGCTTCGCGCGCGCGTGACGTGCTTGCGCGCGCAGAGCTGAGGAACGTGAATGGCTGCTCACTCGGTGCACGGATCAGGCACAATTCACGCGTTCACGGCTCGACGGTTTGCTCCCAAGTCCCCTCGCAAGGCACCTCGAATCCGTAGTAGGTTCTACAATAGAGGGTCAGAAACTGTCCGACACTCAGAGCAGCGTCGTCCTTCTCGTCCTTGCAGCTTCTTCCCGCCTCCTCATTCCGCCTCCCTGCTCCTCGCCCGCCCATGCCTCCCTGCACCCTTCCATCCGTCCCTGAACCGACCATGTCCATGCACACGCCTGCTCACACAACAATCACGCACCACCGCAACACACTCCTCTCCACTCCTGACACCTCTCTCGCCAGCACAGGGGAATAAGGGTCCCATTTTCGCCTTCCCCTCCGCCCTCCCCTCCGCCTTTCCACACGCTTCCACTTGGTTGCTCCACCAAGGGAGGCTGGGCGCCAGTGGCCCACTTGAGCCGTCCTCGCCCGAGCCTCCCCCTCCCAAGCCTGTCACAGTGGGTTGGGCCGAGCCTCTGCTCGAGCCTCGGACACTCGTCTCCCCCTCGCTTGACCGTCCTCTGCTTCCTCCCTATCCTCTGCTTCCGCTGCTGCCACTGGTGGCGCTGCTTGTTTCGCCTGTTCAAGTCACCACCGCTGTTATCCGCATCGCATTTTCCCCGCTGCTCTTTCCCGCCGCGGTGGCATCGCTGCTGCTCTCTCCCATGCCAGCAAACTCTTGAGGGGCGGAGTGCGTGCGCTGCTGCTATCTACTCTGTTCCTGATGGGTGCTACAGCCATGGGACTGAGAGCAGCACCAGCTATAGCAGCCACAGTTATAGTTGCATCGGGCGACGTGGTGGTTGGGGGTGTTGAGGTCGCATTCGGACTCGGGTAACCTTGGCGAGGTTGCCCTGGTCCGCGAAATTCGTTTGTTATTTTCGACACTTCCTGTGTTTGCGGGCCTATCGCTATTCCTGAACCCAATCAACCTTCCTAAGGTTGAAGTTCTTGGTCCGCGGGTTTTGAACTTCAGTTGAATCTTCAGCTACGGTTGATTCTTCAACTACAGTCCAAGCTAGCCAAGTGGGAACCCTTGGAAACAAGCAGGGGAGGAGGCTTAAGGCCAATGCATTCATTCGACTTGCAGCCAATCGCGTTGCTCCAGCTGTCGTTCAACTAGAGGTGGAAAGGTATGCTCTGATGCTCTGGCTCTTCGTTTGGACTAATAGATCTCAAGGAACCCTTGAGTGGAACCCAGAACACATGGTACAGGAGGCGGTTTACTTTTGAGTCGAGTCAAAAGCATGCTCTGGCTCGTCCTTTCGACAAATAGATCTCAAGGTATTCTTTAGTGGAACCCAAGACTCGTGGTTTACCAGGGTCTTCTGTGCACAGGAGGCGGTTTACTTTACAGGGTGTTGATATTCACGCTTGAAAAAACTCCTTGAAGCCTTCACTGATTGTTAAGCATGGGCGTCCTTTTCAGGCCCTGCCTGCAAACTAACGCACTCGCATGCACTCCACCTCGAATGACACGCCTTGTACCCGCCACTCGTCTCGCGTGCCTGTCGCGTCGCTCCCCCACTTGCAGGCACCTTCCTCGGGCATCCCCACAAGCCACCTTGAGAGAGAGCGAGGAGGGCAAAGGCGAGGAGGCAGAGGGGCGGGGCAGCAGCGATAGTGTGGATGGAGGAGAGGGGGATGAGTTCATGGAGACAGGTGGGTTGGGTTAGAGATTCTGACAAGGTGGGTTGGGGTTCGCACAGCAGTATCTTCTGAGAATTCTCAAAAGCAGCAGTGGCAATGTGATGTGGATGGCGGAGAGGGGGATGAGTTCAGAGAGACAGGTGGGTTGGGTTCGGTTTAGCACAGCAGTATGGCTGTGCGAGCATGGTTACATCGTAGACGCATGCCATCTCCTGTTTCCACGCACGGTGACCCATGCCCGCAGCCCTCGCTTACATACTGTTCCCTTTTGCTCTCCCTCATCACCTTGTTCTCCGTCCTTTCCCCGTTTCACACCTTTTCACATCGCTCTTTTCAACCACCCTCCCATCCCAACTTACGCTGCAACCAACCCACTCCTTTGATGCTCCTGGCGAAACAGTATTGAGACTTCTCATCACTCCATTCATTCATGTTCCTGCAGACGACGTGATGTTCCTGGCGAGATTTGATTCGATTGCAAGCACTGGGAGCGCAGATGATGGCAGCACTCGCCTCATGGCAAGCCTGACATCCTCGTGGCCGCACAAGCCTCGAGTGGGGGCGTGGCTGCGTGAGCTCAAGGAGAGGGCGAGGGTGGAGGCCAAGTTGAAGGAGAAGGCCAAGGCACCCGAGGCGTACACAGAAACTAGTGTGTGAGCTTTGCTGCTGCCTGCAGTCCGCTTTGCATCTCTTGTCTTTCACCAGTGTCCTTGTCACACACTGCGTGCACAAGCCTCGAGTGGGGGCGTGGCTGCGCAGGCTCAAGGAGAGGGCGAGGATGGAGGCCAAGGCAAAGGCACCCGAGGCGTACACAGAAAATAGTGTGTGAGCCTAGCTGCCTTGCAAGGGCTTTTGCTTCGATTTCTGCTCAACCAGTTTCGCACAATAGATCTCTTTTAGTGGAAGCAAGCGCCGTTTGTAACTGCATTCCATAAGCGCTTGCTCCATGCATTCTCACTCATATTTGTTCATGCGTGCTCCTGTCCGCTCGCGCATGCATGCTCATGTTCGTTCAAAGGTTCTTGCCGCATGGGCCTCCTTGTTTTCTACTTCGCCCACCTCCCTCCATGCCCCTCCTCCCTTCCCCCCCCCATCTCTCGCTCCTCAGTACTCCAGTGGCTATGGCCCATGGGTTCACCCGCCTAGTACCCTCCTTCCTTACCTTCTTCCCAACATCCCTCCCTCCCGTCCACCTTCCCTTCCTCCCACCCTTCCCTCCCTTTTCTCCCTCCCTACCCATCAGCAGCAGCAGTTTAATCATCCACAACACTCAGCAGCTGGTGATGGAGCCACTTGGTGAAAAAACCAATGTAAATATACTTTTGTGAGATGCCTCAGAACACACCCGCCCCCATTTCCTCCCTTCCTCTCCACCCACCAGCGGCAGCGGGTTCATTGTCAGCAGCGCTAAGCGGCCTGTTATAAATCACCTAAGAATGATTTTTATGCAAGGCGCTCTTCAAACCATCCTTACCTCCCTTCTTCTCCCGCCCCCCGTCCCCCGTCTCCACCCACCTGAGGCAGTGGATTCATCGTCAGCAGCACTCAGCAGCTGGCTCCGACCAAGGCTCATGTCGTTTGTTGCGCCTCAACACTTATTCCCTCCTCCTTCCCTCCTTTTCTTCATCCCCACCCACCAGAGGCAGTGGGTTCATCGTCAGCAGCACTCAGCAGCTGGCTGGCTCCAACCAAGGCTCGTGTCTTTTGAGTCGCCTCAGCACTTATTCGTCCCCTTCTTCCCTCCGGTCCTCCACTCCCACCCACCAGCGGCAGCGGGTTCATCCTCTGCAGCAGCACTCGCGGCTGGTTCTCACCAATGCTCATGTCGTTTGATGCGCCTCAACACTTATCCCCCCCTCCTCCCCACCTGTTCTTCACCCCCACCCACCAGCGGCAGTGGATTCATTGTCAGCAGCGTTCAACGGCTGGTTCTCACCAACGTGCACGTGGTGGATGGTGCAGCGAGAGTGACGGTAAGGGGGGTGAGGAAGCGGGAATGTCTTTCTGGATACGAACGGATGTCTGGCACACATTGCCCATTGGGATGTGCTGTGTTAGTGCTCAGTGGCTGATGCTCACCAACGCACATGTGGTGGGTGGATGGTGCAGCAAGAGTGACGGTAGGGCGAAGGGAGGAATCACTCTCCTGCATGTTATGTTTCGTATGTCACAGCAGCTAGACACATGTGCTGGTGCTCAGCGGCTGGTTCTCGACACACCAATGTGGTTGATGGTGCAGTGAGGGTGACGGTAAGGCGAAGAGGGGAATCACCCTACTGGGATTAGACAGATACTCACGTCTCATCTCATACAGGGAGGGATGGGATGGATGAGACATGTCACAGAAGCCTAAGGAGAGCATCGGTCACAGCTAGTTCATCTGTCATCCCTCCCTTCTGTTTTCTTCCATCCCTCTCATCCCTCTTATCTCTACCACCCTATTACCCCCTTATCTCTCATCCCCCCTAGATCTGACATCCCCCCATTCCCCCCAGATCTCCCATCCCTCACTCCCACCCCACCCATCCCTCCCTTCTTGTCAGCTGCTTCTTCCTGACGGTCGTCGCTTTGTTACCGGGACTTCATGCGCACAGCATCCCTCCGCGGGCCTGGCAGTGCTAGTTCAACATTCTCTCCTCACGCGCCCTTCCCCACCCCATCCCTCCTATGTCTCCCATCCCTCCCATGTCTCCCATCCCAACCCCCCATTCTTCCCATCCCTTCAGCTGCTTCTTCCCGACGGTCGTCGCTTTGCCACTCAGTCAACCGCACTGCATCCCTCTGCAGACCTCGCAGTGCTTAAGATAGTGCCGCTGTCAGTCAGGTCAAGGTAGTGTATCGCTGCATTCGTCTGTTGACCCTGGTACGGGGTTACTTAGCACTGAAGTGACTGTTGAGTCGACTCAAAACTCATATCGCTGCATTTGTCTGTTGCCACTGAAGGAACCACTACGAGCGTCAACGTTAGCGCATGCGGGTCTGCCTGTGGTTGTTGCTTGAATCTCCCACTCATTCTTCCATGGTGAAATAGGTTCGAAATAGGTTCAGCGTTAGTGAGCCATTTCTCTACCACATTGATAACTGTTCACCAAGTGAGGCTCGCTTGTTGATTCTCCCGCTTCAAGCATTGTCATCAGTGCCTCACTCGAAGGGAGAACCCTCTCATGACCACCTACTCTCTAGCGTGACCAATCAGACCCATGCTTCCACCATCAGAGGCTCTTACTACCACTTCAAGCATTCTATCAGTCCTTCCTTTCTTTCTTTTTTGCCTGTTGTATTGTGTTGTGTCTATCTACACTTGGCCAGTAGGTGACTCACAGGCTGTTGACCTGAAGGGGGAAGGTTGCTCTGCAGCAGACATGTTCCTTTCAACTCACGCATTCCTTCTCTTGTTCTCTCTTTCCTCCCGCTGCTGCCCAGTAGGTGCATACCAAAGGGCCACCAGCCGGCCCTCTTTCCAGCCTGCAAGGGGTTGAAGAGCCGGCTGTAGCAAGAGTGAAGAGTGAGTTGGCTGTAGCAAGAGTGAAGAGTGAGTTGGATGTAGCAAGAGTGAAGAGTGAGTTGGCTGTAGCAAGAGTGAAGAGTGAGTTGGCTGTAGCAAGAGTGAAGAGTGAGTTGGCTGTAGCAAGAGTGAAGAGTGAGTTGGCTGTAGCAAGAGTGAAGAGTGAGTTGGCTGTAGCAAGAGTGAAGAGTGAGTTGGCTGTAGCAAGAGTGAAGAGTGAGTTGGCTGTAGCAAGAGTGAAGAGTGAGTTGGCTGTAGCAAGAGTGAAGAGTGAGTTGGCTGTAGCAGAAGAGGAGGGGACAGGGTGGTCGGCAGCAGACAGTGTTGGGTCAGCTAAGGAGAGGGCTACTGTGCATGGTTGCAGAGGAGGGGGGTCACGGGAAGGGGTTGGGGAGGGTTTGATCAAGGGGGAATGGGATGAGAACTCATTTGTGGCGGTCATATTTGGGGAAGCGAGAGGAGGAGAGCAAGAGAGAGGACGGGAGAGAGGAGGGAAAGGCGATGGAGAGGAGGGAGAAAGGCAAGGGGATGGAGGGGAGAGAGGAGGAGGTCAGAGGGATGGGAGAGAGGAAGGAGCGGGCAGCAGGGAAGAGGAGTGGCTGCCCTGTGCGCCCATTGGTGACAGTGATGACATGGAGCTTGCTGATTGGGTGATCTCGGTGGGCAATCCCGTGGGGCTACCTGGCAGCATCAGCCTGGGCGTGATTAGCAGCCTCCACCGCACTGCTGCTCAGGTGAGTGAGGTTGTTGGGCGGGAGAGGAGGAGGGGTTGAGGGGGAGGACGGGGTGGAGGGAGTTGAAGAGCAGCTGTGCATGGGACGTTTGGCACCTGGGCGTCATTAGCAGCCTGCACCGCACTGCCGCTCAGGTGGAAAAGGGGAGGAAACGCTTCCTGAAAGAGGGAGAGGATGGGGGGATGGGGAGGGGGGAGGGAAGTGGAAAAGGGCGAAGAGTGGGGAAAAAGGGGGAGGAAATATGGGGTTTGGTTGGGGGTGGAAGGAAGGGGAGAAGGGGACGAGGGCGCGGCCGCCCTTGTACTTGAAGGCTTGGGAGAAGACGGGCGAGCCGTGGAAGGAGAGGTCAAAGAAGAATGTGAGATCGTCCAGGTGGAAGGGCAGCGGGGAGGCCCGTCCTGGGCGGAGAAATCGCTTTCTGATAGAGGGAGAGGGAGAGGGAGAGGGGGAGGGGGAGCGGGAGCGGGAGGGGGAGGGAGAGGGAGGTTCGGAAAGGAAAAACCGCAAAAAGAGGGGGAAAAAAGGGAGAAGAATGTGAGATCGTCCAGGTGAAAGGGCAGCGGGGAGGCCCGTCCTGGGCGGAGAAATCGCTTTCTGATAGAGGGAGAGGGAGAGGGAGAGGGAGAGGGGGAGGGGGAGCGGGAGCGGGCGGGAGAGGGAGAGGGAGGTTCGGAAAGGAAAAACCGCAAAAAGAGGGGGAAAAAAGGGAGAAGAATGTGAGATCGTCCAGGTGAAAGGGCAGCGGGGCGGGGAGGCCCGTCCTGGGCAGAGAAAAACGTTTCGTAAAAAAAGAGGAGGTTGGGGGAATGGGGAGTATGGGGGAGGAAGAGGGTGGGGGGAGGGGATGGATGGGGGATGAAGAGGATGGGGGCTGGGGAGGAAAGGGAAAAGACGAGGGAAGGGGAGGGGAGGGGGAAGAGGGAGACGCCGTTTACCTGTAGAAGAGGTAGAAGCCACAGGAGTCGGACACACGGCAGGCCACAGCAGGGCTGACGAGGGCAGGCCAGAGGGGGAGAGACCGACCAACCTGTACAGAAATACAAGTTCTAACAGCCGCACAGCCCCTTACCTGTAGAAGAGGCAGAAACCGCAGGAATCGGAAACGTGACGGGCCACAGCACGGCTGGCGAGCGCTGGCCAGAGAGCGATGGTGTGGCGGTGGCAGAGAGGGAGATGGAGAGAGCGACCAACCTGTGTATAGAAACACAACCTGTGTAGAGATTCGAAAATGGCAGTAACCCCTTTACCTGTAAAAGAGGTAGAAGCCGCACGAGTCTGAAACACGGCGGGCCACAGCAGGGCTGGCGAGGGCGGGCCAGAGAGCGATGGTGTGGCGGTGGCAGTGGGGCTCGCTGCATGTGTACGAGATGACTTTTGCCACCGCCACACCATCGCCGGTGTACGAGATGACTTTTGAGTCGACTCAAAAGTTGCCAGAGGGGCCTGCATGTGTAAGCAAGTCTACAAGCGGCAGCAGCCTCACCTGTAGAACAAATAGAAGCCACACGAGTCGGAGACCCGGCGCGCCACAGCAGGGCTGGCGAGGGCGCGATGGTGTGGCGGTGGCAGAGGGGCAGAGCACCACGAGAGGCAAACCAAGTCCCAAGTTCCCAACCTGAGTGCAAGCTCACAAGTGGCAGCAACCCCTTACCTGTAGAAGAGGTAGAAGCCGCAGGAATCGGAGACCCGACGAGCCACAGCCGGGCTGGCGAGGGCGGGCCAGAGCGCGATGGTGTGGCGGTGCCACAGAGGCTCGCTGATGGCTGCTGCCCTCCACTCGCGGCACACACACGCTGCTGCTGCCAGGTCCCTTGGGGGCAGGGCGCGGAAGGTGAGCTGGGGGAGGGGAGAGGAAGGGGAGAACAGGGGGTGAGCAGGGGTCGAAAGTGGTCAAAAGGGGTGAACAGGGGCCAGAGGGGCTCGCTGGTGGCTGCTGCTCTCCACTCGCGGCACACACACGCTGCTGCTGCCAGGTCCCTCGGGGGCAGGGCGCGGAAGGTGAGCTGCAGATGGGGAAGGAGGGGGAGGAGGGGGAGCAGGGGTAAAAAGGGGTCAACAGGGGCCAGAGAGGCTCGCTGGTGGCTGCTGCTCTCCACTCGCGGCACACACACGCTGCTGCTGCCAGGTCCCTTGGGGGCAGGGCGCGGAAGGTGAGCTGGGGGGGGGGGGGGGAGAGGGGGGAGCAGGGGGTGAGCAGGGGTCGAAAGTGGTCAAAAGGGGTCAACAGGTGCCAGAGGGGCTCGCTGGTGGCTGCTGCTCTCCACTCGCGGCACACACACGCTGCTGCTGCCAGGTCCTTTGGGGGCAGGGCGCGAAAGGTGAGCTGAGGGGGGGGAGGGAATAGGGGGACGACAGGGGAGGAAGGGGGTCAAGAGTGGTCAAAAGGGGTCAACAGTGGTCAACAGGGGCCAGAGAGGCTCGCTGGCAGCTGCTGCTCTCCACTCGCGGCACACACACGCTGCTGTGGTCGGTGTTGCTCCTGCTGGTGCTGCTGATTATGATTAATTACAACCCATTACAATCAGTTTCGTTGCTTTTCAATCCACTCACCTCTAAAACGGAAGGATGAGATGAAATGTCCGATGACCGACTGTTCTTCCGTGTGAACATGTGTCGCGGGGATGGCAGCGGTGGTGCTGCTGCTGTTGTCGGTGTTGCTCCTGCTGGTGCTGCTGCTGCTCCTGCTGCTGCCGTCGGTGTTGGTGCCGCTGCTGCCGCTGCTGCCGCTGCTGTTGCTGGTGCTGTTACTGCTCCTCCTCCTCCTGCCCTTCCAGCCCCTCCTGTTGCTGCAGTTGCCATTGCTCCGGCTTGCTCTGTGGCGTGTTCCTGAGCAGCAGGTACGGCAGCAGGTACGGCAGCAGGCATGGCAGCAGGTACAGCAGCAACGGCACCTGGAACAATGGCAGCCCCTGACGAAACACCTGCGCTTTGACGCCAATACGCCTGACTCTGTTGCTGCTGATGCGCCTGCTGCTGCTGCTGCTGCTGCTGCTGATGCGCCTGGTGCTGCTGCTGCTGCTGTTGCTGCTGCTGATGATGATGGTGCTGCTGATGCTGCTGCTGGCTATGGCCGTTGTGCTGCTGCTGGTTCGCACTAGGGTTTCTATCGACACCTGCACCCGACACGCTGTGACTGAACACGCCCTGGTTTAGCACACTAGATCCTCCTGAGTCCCCTCTATTGGAACACGGTATTAAAAGCACCGAATCTAGAAGCATCTCTTCTCCGCCTCCTGCTCCCCTTCCTGCTCCCCCTCCCCCTCCCCCTCCCCCTCCCCCATCCATCCCCCCTGCCCCTCCCCCTGACCGCTTCCGCTCAAACCCTTCCCTCTCCGCGGACGGGACTATGTCAAAGGGGAGCGGCGGCGGAGTGGACGGGGGAGCAGGGTAGGGGGAGCCTTGCGCGGGGTAGGGGGAGCCTTGCGCGCGATAGGGGGAGCCTTGTCCGGGGTAGGGGGAGCCTTGCGCGGGATATGGGGAAACTTGTGCGGGGTAGGAGGTGACTAGTGCGGGGTAAGAGGAGACTTGTGCGGGGTAGGGGGAGACTTGTTCGGGGTAAGGGGGACCTTGCGGGAGCGGAACGGGCTGAGACGAGGCGGGCGCGGATGGGCGATGCGGAGGCTGCATGCTTGCTGCGGAAAGAGCGCGGAAACACCGAACTGCGCAATCGGCGGTTCGCGCGGTTTGAGGCCTGCAGGCTCGCGGGGTTGGGGTGTTGCGCGGAAAAAGGGGAGAGGCGTGGGAAAGCCGCGGGGAAGCAGGAAGGCAGGTACCAGTAAGCAGGAGGAGCGGGGAAATTGTGAACTGCAGCCGCAGGCGGAACGGGGGAGGCGGGCGGAAACTCTAATATACTCGGGATTAGATTTCCGAAGGGAATGAGAGCCGCGGGAAAAGGCGGAGTGGAAGTGGAATTGTCTGCAGAGTCAGATCTCGTTCGGACTAAGTCAATCACCGACAATCTCAAGATCCGTTGCGGTAACGCGCCGCCATGAGTACAAATTCGCACTATCCGAGGATTTGATCTTCAGCAAATCTTGAACCAACCAGAAAGAACCCCATCCACGCCGAAAGGTCAAGCGGACCGGCCGAGGAACCAAATTGCCACTCGCTACAGTCACAGCTGCAATCACACCTCAGCTGACACTAGGAATTCGCAACAACCACTTCGCAAATGCGAGTTACATTCGCTGATCGACGAAACCAACCCCGGCCGAAACTGCACTCCAGCAAAATTGACTGAACAAGGCCCCAAACCTCGATATAGCCAGATCCGTCTGCGATCGAACAACTATCGCCTAGAAAAGCCAAAATTCTACCGAGTTGGCTCGCTTCTCGAGGCGTCTCTAACACCGATTTTAGCCTGGTCTCACGCTATCGGTACAGTTCTCGACTCGTTAGTATCATCCGCCGACGCAATTTCGCAGCTTCGAAACGCAGAATTCGCCTGCTACTTATGCCGTTCGCAGCCCCATCCGCTTCTTCATCCGATCGAACACGGCCCTTGGTATTGCCGACGCGCTGATTTTGATTCTGATATTGCTGAGAAGACCGTTTGCCGATGTAACAGCAGCGGGTAGTGATGCTGCTACTGTTAGTGACGTGGCTGACGCGATTGACGCATCGTTCAATTCCGACCTTTGAGCGCGCTGCCGGATGCGGACATTCGATGACTGAATATCTCGCGTTCCTGGCTCAGCAGAGTATTGCGATGCTTGTGTCGCTTCGGAACCTTTAAATGCGCTCCTCTTTCTACGGATACGGTGGCACTAGTACATGCATGAGGTTCCCTCTCGCAGTTTCGGTTACATCCAGCTCATTTCCGTGTGAGAAAGCAGCTGGCTTCTTCCCCATCATGCTCTTCCACCTCGCTTCCCTGCGGCCTAAAGCAAGGCGAATCCAATAATAAAGGCTGCCGGTTTCCTCGGCGCTGGAAACTGAGCAATGGCAGCTTGGTGTTGTTCGGCAGTCACGCACCAGCACAGGACTGACCCCTGTCAGCTCTTTAGGGTAACTAACGCACAACGACATTTATGCGCGGGGCTTCGACCGGGTGGTAACAGGTTTCCGCAAACAGTCGTAATGTCAAGAACATGATATACGAAAATGAGCGAACTCGAACGCACTGAAATTGGAATACAAAAGACGTTGTTCGGTTCAGTTTCGCTCAGAACGTTCCTGGGAGTGCAAATGTAGAGGATCGTGATTCCACTCACAGTTAGTGCGGTGGCCCGTTTGTTTTCAACTAACCACGGTTTCGCTTGGTGAGTTACGTTCAAACGCGGTAGAGAGAGAGCCTGATGCTCAGATCAGCAACAACCCCGTAAGACACTTTCGATTCCCTGAGAACTCTGCCAGCTTCCCAGCCGTTCCATATTTATCGCGAGTGTCAAGACCCAGAATCCAGTTATTAGTTCCTCCTTGATTCTTTGGTCACCGAGCTGAATCGAGTTCATAATGGCGACGGCGACAGCAAGGCTTTTAGAGGAGATCGTGAGCGTAGGGACAAGATTAGCTGTTCGATTCGACGATTCGACGATGCCAGGAGGGAGCTGGAAGCGGAAAAGCGACCGAGAAGAGAAATCACGGAGGGCTATGCGCTGACTGATAGATTGGAGAGTTTAGAGACACTTCTGAGAGAAATGAGGGAGGAAAGCAATAAGAGCATAAGCAAACTTAGGAATGAACTAGCAGTTGAGAGGGCTGCAAGGGAGGAGAAGGAAAAGGATGTGGCTGCACTGACAGTGCGACTCTCGCAGGCAGAGGAGTTGCTGTCACATCAGAAGGACGAAACGTGCAAGATTTGGGAGGTGAGCGGAAACGAATTTTTACTCGTGTTACCTAAACGCGAATACACGATGTTTACCCATCCCAGTTTTAGCGTTTTCTCACGATGTGACGATTTCAGGCGATTTCTCAGCCCCATCAGTCCACAACTGGTGCAGTTGCTCAGGATGAAACTCCGATTTCAAACGACGATAGGGGATCACTTGTGTCTACGTTGGTAGCACAGTCGGCGCAGGTAGTTAAAGCGTTGGAGCAGCAAAAGGAGCAAACGAAGAAGGTATGGAAGGTGAGCAGTCATCTTGTTAGGGGTTTGTGTTGAACATGCGGATCTTTCTGTTTCCCGGGCTAATCTCCAAGGTGCTGATTTTCTCAGGCTATTTATGTGACTTCGAAACAGCGCCCGTATAATGGGCTGACGTGTGCAGATGTGAAGGTAATTGATGCTCATCCTAACACAACGGTACTGGAGCTGAGCTTCAACGATGGGCCAATCAGTGATGTTGGACTTCTTCACCTTCCTTACTTGACATCCCTAAAGAGCTTCAGAATTCCTTATTGCGACAACGTTAGGGCCTTGAGCCACCTCTACGCCATGACATGGCTGGAGGAGCTGAAGCTCGAGTCACATGGTTTTCTCGACAAAAACATTCAGGGAATCGACAATCTGTCAGCTCTCCGCCGACTTGAGCTCGTTGGGACGCAGGTTTCAGGTGCTGGGCTTTCCAATTTAAAATGCCTTGGGTCCCTTAAAGTCCTTGTCCTTTCTCGTGGCCAGAATGACTTCTGGTACCATGCCACAAATAGCTTCTCATCGGCTGGCATGGAGCACGTGGGGAAGCTGACGAGTCTTGAAGCACTGGATATTGGTCTCTCTAATGTCAGGGACGAAGGGTTGGCCCATCTGGCGCCTCTGTCAAAGCTGACATGGCTCAGCCTGCCAGAGCACATCACTGACCAGGGCATGGTGCACCTGAAACACTTCAAATCCCTCAAGACCGTCTGGTTGAGGAATTACTTTCAGGATTACCAGCATGACATCGAGTGCTTGAAGGCCCTTCCATGCCTTGAGAAGGTTGGAGTGCGAGACTGGCAGGCAGCAACATAGGCTTCAAGGGACCTTCCTAATGTGAAAGTTACTGTCTGCACGGAGTTTGAGCCTTATAGTGGATAGCTCCTGGATTGTTGAAATCATCATCGTTTTTAAATAACAATGCTGTGGGCTTGGAGTGGAGTGACTAGTGGATGGGCGGGAGGTGAGAGTCTGAGGTCAGAATTTAGCCTTGTCATTTTTGGACAAGGCGGACTGCCGGTTAGGGCCGGGAGATTGAGAACACAGATTTGGGGAGACTAGTACGGTTTTTTTTATACTCATTTTCCAGCTACGGTATTTAGGTTCCTCCTGTCCCTGTCCTGTGGCTTACCGTACCCTGGACACGATGATTGTCCTCGCTTTGTGCTCTACTGAACTTGCATGTACACTCCTCAGAGTGTATTTTTCTTTGAAATATTTGTCCCGCATGAACTCTATCTCGAAACCTCTCAAATCACCTTGAAAATCCGAATATATTGTAGAACAATTGAGCACATTCTTGATCTTCCGGTTGCACAAGGGCACTTGCCACGCCTGTCCCTGACCTTTTGGGCGCATGTGCAGCACATCATGTGGCCACACACACAAACGCTGCCCTCCTTGGCCTCTCCATGCACACACAGCACTTCCCCTCCTCCCCTCCCCACCCACCCCCTCCTCCCCTCCACTCCCTTCACCAACCGCTGCTGCTGCTCCTGCTCTCTCCCATTCGCCTCCCTCCCGCCCCTCCTCTGCACCGCCTGTCCCTGCACCTCTCCTCTTCTTCCTCCTTTGCTTCTTCCCTCCATCTATTTATCAGAACGTTCCTCCGGCCGGTTGCCCGAAACCGTGATGCATGTGTGTGGGTGGGGTGAGAGCATGGCTCTGGGTTTGTCTGGATGCCACCTGGATTGGTGGGCCACCCAGGACTGCGACACCATGGTCCCTGCTAAACTGTAGCAGCTTTTCGTTCCTACCTCCCCCAAGCATCTCATACAGGTGCTGCTGCTGAAAACTTCATTGGGACAGACGGTTCAAGATCAAGATGCTGCATATGTGTAACTCTCCAGGTGTGCGTGGTTAATTTTACTATGCATAGATAGGTCCACCTCTGAGACTCCTCAAATATAAGGTGTAACGTAACGTAAGGTGTAACGTAACATAGGGTGTAACACAAGGTGCAAGGCCCCAGAGAATCTCCCCTCCTCCCCAACTCTCCCTCCCCTCTTCTCCCTCTCCGTTTTAGGCTGGAAGAAAGGTTCCGGCCTTTGCCTTGAGCATGATGTGCTTGACTCCAGAAGAGCAACCACTCAAATAGGTTCATTTCGCTGCAAACCCTTCCAACCCCTCCCCTCTCTGCTCTCCCCCCTCCTCTCTTCAAGCTAGAGGAGAGGAGCGGTCCCGGTGCAAGGCCTTCATCCTGGAGCGGGGTCTGCTGGACCCGAGAAGAGCAGATGGAATGATCCGATCCAAAACAAACACCAGTAGCAGTAGGGGCAGGGAGCAGGACAGGGCAGAGGAGACGTCGGAACGAGGAGGGGAAAGGGAAGGCGGAGGTGAAAGGGAGATGGGGGGAGAGTAGGGAGAAAAGGGAGGGAAACGCGGAGGAGGGAATTGAGGAGTCGGCGGGGAGAGGAGATCAAAGGAGGAAAGGGAGACGTTTCTGTGGTGCTGCGTGTTTCCGCGGTTACTCAGTCCTGAGGAGCATGAGGGGCTGGTGCAGATGCTTACCCAGGCGCAGCGACTGAGGGAGAGTGGCCGTGCTGCAGGTGAGGCTTGTGGTTTGCTTGTGTGGATGTGTGGTGGTGGTGTCAGCACAGGAGCAGTACTTGTCAAAGGAAGACAGGTTTGTGTGCTGCTGGAGATGTTTCTACAGCTCCCCTGCGCAGAGGAGCACGAGGGTCTGGCAGATGCAAAACCTGGCTCAAATAAGAGAGACTGAGACAAAGTGGCCGTGCCGCAGGTGAGGCTTGTAGTTTGATTGAGATAGCACCTAGTAAGTAAGTAGTGCTGATTTGAGACATCAACTGCTGAGTATGAACTCCCCGCCCCACTGCTGCTGCTGCTGCTGCCATCGCGTGCCTTTCCACCACCTCTTGTTACACGTTCCTGTTCTATTACCAAGCTCATGTGTCTGCCCTCCCTTTCCTTCTTGGCCAGTTGCACTCACAGCAACCAGCACAGCACCATCAGCAAGAGGTCCCTCCTCCCCATCACCTCATGCTCCATCTTCCCTGCTCCTTTGTCCCACGCATTCTTCACCCCTCTGCCATTTTTTCCACTCTCTTTGCTCCCTTGCCACTTGTGCCACCAGCCATCGGCACAGCATCATCAGGAGGTCCTTCAGCTGCTCTTGACATCTCCTCCCACCCCAGGTGTGCTTCTATCAGCCATGCTAAGGTAAGAAATTCATTCCCAATAGATCAATATGTGCCGCTATTAACCAATGTGGGATCATGACGATTATCGTCTTCCAATTTCCAACCATACACATGTCCCCGATACTCGTTTCCATGCTGCCTTCATGCCTCTCGGTGTTGTTGTGACTTCTTTGCTCTGCCTTCAAACTGTCTTTGCCTCTGTCTCTCTTCTGTTGACTCCTGTTCCCTTCTGTCCAGCCCATAAGTTTCAACCAGACCTATTTCCTTCCGCTTTACCTCCCTCCCTTCCTCCCTCTGATCCTCCCTCTGATCCATGCATCCAATTGCCCGTCCTTCTACTTGTGCATGTCTTCCGGATCATGACAAAAAACGCCATCCACCCGCATGAAAACCGCCAAGCTCTGCCAGTTTTTCAGGAGCGTGAGCGATGCACGCACATGCGCATGCTGCCGGCACACTACCTCCGGGCCAAGCAGGTGAGATTCGAGTGCTGGGTCACCACCTTAGTGTGCTACTAAGTAGACTAATGTGTGTGTGTGTGTTTGTGTGTATGTGTGTGTGTGTGTGTGTGTGTGAGTATGTGTGTGTGCGTGTGTGTGTGTGTGTGTGTGTGTGTGTGTGTGTGTGTGTGTGTGTGTGCGTGTGGGTCCCCTCTTCCCCCCCCTCCCCTCCCATCAGGTCATCCTACAGCAAGCAGCCCTGTCAGGAGGAGCCATTTCACGAGCAGCAGTGCACCGATTCTTCCGCCTTCCCTCCGCCACCACTGATGCAATTTTCAGAATCCTGCTGGGTGCTGGCTGGATAGCTGAAGCCGTGGGAGGTAGTGCTGGTGGGGGGATGGGAGGGGGGATGGTGAAGCAGGAAGGAATGTGAGTCCATGATCTCCCCAGCCATTACTGATGGCAGGCTCTTGCTGGGGGTTGGCTGGATAGCTGAAGCTGTTGGTGGGAATATTGCTGCACTCCAGCCACCAGTGTTTAAATCGGACGGCTGAGGCTTGGGGAGATAGTGCCAATGGGGGGTTTGGGGGGAATGATAGTGAGTGAGCAACAAGAGATTCGTAACATATTTTGATTTCACGACTTGAGCAAACTAAGCATGCTATGTTTGTAGCGAGGTGTCGATCGATTTGGCCTTGTAGAGCAATGCGTGGTTCGAAAAATCTGGCATGTGATGTTGTGGCGGAAGAACGGTCTAGCCCGTGAATAGTGTGGGATGTAAGGAAATTGAGAATGTAACATTCACATAGTCATCTGTAGTTTTAGACTTGATTGCTTTGACATTCATTCGTGAAACACTAGCGCACAACGAATCACCAGAATCTGAGGTGGACGTCGCAGGGTACCACCGGTCATGCTGATCACTGCCATGGTTCACGCCTATTTCACGCCCTCCTCACGCCTAACGAGGAGTGACGATGGACGAATCCGGCGAGACAGGTTGCTCGCACGTATCGCAAGTGTGTGCAGGCTACGGAAATCTTCACAAAGTTGCACGGGTCGTCGCGACGCCGATGGAGGGCATGCGCGATGGGGAAGTGGGCCCGCGTCTCAACGGGCCCCAGCTGGTAGTGACGGCGACGTCTACGTCACGAGCAAAGTCGACGGATGTCGAGAGGACAGGACACACAGAACCTTGGAGATCTCCTACGAACCTCCCAGAGGATTAGTCGCATCAGTAGTTAGTTTCCATATTTCGTGGTAATTGTTTTGCTGACCGTTCTTCTCACAAAACGCGTCGGCTCTTCCTCGTCACAATCAGAGCCGAGTTCACAATGATGACGGCGACAGCAAGGCTTTTGGAGGAGATTGTGAGCGTAGGAACGAAACTAGCCGTTAGATTCGACGATGCCAGGAGGGAGTTGGAAGCGGAACAGCAACAGAGGAGAGAAATCACGGAGAGCCCGATGCTGGCTGATAAATTAGAGGAGTCTGGAGAAGAATCTGAAAGAACCGACGGAGTACATTAACAACATAAACGACCTTAAGAATGAGCTAGCAGCTGAGAGGGCTGCGAGGGAGGGAAAGGAAAAGGAGGTGGCTGCACTGACCGTGCGACTCTCGCAGACAGAGAAATAGCTTTCGCAGGAGAAGGAAAAGAACTGCAAAATGTTGGAGGTGGGCGCGTCTAACCGTAACTTGAGTATTACGATGTCTATTTTTCCAACTCCACCCTTCTCACAATGTACTTTCTTCAGGCGATTCCTCGGTCTTCTTGTCAGCCAACAACTGGTAATGACGCTCAGGATGAAACACGGGCTCTAAGAAAGGAGATGGAGAACATCGTGAAGGCAATGACAGCACAGTCGGCGCAGGCAGAGAAAATGGGGGTGCAGCGAAAGGAGGAATCGAGAAAGGTGCTCGAGGTGAGATGTTAACCTGTTGGAGGCATGTGGTTGCAACATGCGCATTCCCATCCCTTTGCCATGGCTAATTTCAGGACATTTTGATAATTTCAGGCTATTTATCTCACCTCGGACCAGCCACCAAACAAAACAGATGCGAGGATCATTCGTGCTGACGACAGCACAATGTTTATGAAAGTGGACAGGTCAGATGAGCCACTTACTGACTGTGGACTTCTTCACCTCCCCTTCTTTACATCCCTTAAGCGCCTGGAGATTTCCCATTGTGTTCACAATGCCGCCTTGAGGCAACTCTACACCATGACATGGCTGGAGGAGCTGAAACTTGAGTCAGGCACTTTTGATGATTCAGTGGTTCTGGGCGTCAGAAACCTGACTGCTCTCCGTCGTCTTGAGCTGATGAAAACGCGCGTTTCAAATGATGGTCTGGCTCATCTGACATGCCTTGGCTCCCTTAAAGTCCTCGTTCTTTCACGTTTTTATCGTTGTTACATCTCGTCAGCTGGCATGGTGCGTGTGGGGAAGCTACTATGGCTGGAGGAGCTTAAGCCTAAAGGTCACAATTTCGATCATTCAACGGTCCTGGGAATCAGCAACTTGACGGCTCTTCGTGTGCTCGAACTGATACATACACAGGTTTCAGATGGTGGGCTGGCCCATCTGACATGCCTTGGCTCCCTCAAAGTCCTTGTTCTTTCCCGTAACGATCGCATCTCGTCCACCGGCATGGTGCATGTGGGGAAGCTGATATGGCTGGAGGAGCTAAAACTTGAATCGCACCGCTTCAATGATACAATGGTTATGAGACTCAGCACTCTGACAGCTCTCCGCTGGCTTAAACTGGTTGATACACGGAATCCTGACCATGAGCTGGCTCATCTGACATTACTTGGCTCCCCCCCAAGTCCTCATTCCTTCACTTTTTAATGACATCTCGTCGGCTGGCATGGTGCATAGTGGTGAGCTGACATGGCTGGAGGAGCCAAGACTTGAATCACACCTTTTTTATGATTCAGTGGTCTTGGGAATCAGCAACCTGACGGCTCTCCATCGGCTCGAACTGATAAAAGCCAGGTTTCAGATGAGGGGCTGGCTCATCTGACGTGCCTTGGCTCCCTCAAAGTCCTCGTTCTTTCACGTTGTGATTGTTGTTACATCTCGTCGGCTGGCATGGTGCATGTTGGGAAATTGACGAGCCTTGAAGCGTTGGATCTTGGCACATTCCGTGTGACGGACGATGGGTTAGCACATCTTGCGCCTCTGTCAAAGCTGGCATGGCTCGCTCTGCCAGAGCAAGTGACGGTCAAGGGCATGAGGCATCTGGCATGGTTCGAATCCCTCAAAACCATTCGGTTATGGACTTCGTATCAGGATCTTCACTTTTTAGTTGGGCACTTGAAGACCCTTCCTTGCCTTGAGGCGGTTGAAGTGAAAGACAGTCGGACAGCAGAGATGCTTATGGAGTGCCTTCCGAATGTGCATGTTACTGTCTTCAACTACCTAGGGTGCTATCCATATTAAGCATTACAATCAGTACTGTCTGCATTGAGGTGCAGTACAATCAGATTCACTCTTCGTGGGTTATCATCGGGATAATTCCTGTGGCAGATACTAACAACCTTATTATTCCTTGGTGTACCAGCTCTCAGGGCACTTGTCACGCCTGTCCCTGGTCTACTGACTCTTGAGCGCACGTACAGCACAGCATGTGGCCACACGCCACAAACGCTGTCTTCCTCGGCCTCTCCATGCACACACAGCACACCGCCTCCCCATCCCCCCTTGTCACAAGAATCCACTACTCCTCTCTTTCTCCTGCTGCCTCTCCCTCTTTTCTCCCATCCAACCCCCCCACCCCCGTCTGTCCCTTCGCCCCTCGTTCTCCTCTGCTCCTCCCATCTGCCTCTCCACCCCCCCATGCATGTGTTGGCTCCGGGTGCGTCGAGATGAGACCTGGATTGGTGGGCCCACCAGTACTGCTACCTGTGGCACTCCTGCTCCTGCTACAGCTCCAGATACAGTACCTACTTATGTACCTGTTACAGTGCCTGCTACAGTGCCGCTATGGTGCCCCACCACCCCCTACCTCTAATTTGCCATCGCTGCCAGCACTCGGGCGGATGCTGGAAACCTTATTGGGACAGACGGTTCAAGATCAAGATGCTACAAGTGTTTAACTCTCCAGGTGCACGTGGTTAATTCTACTATGCATGTATAGATCCACCTTGGAGACTCCTCAAATATATGCGTAATGTAAGGTGTAATGTAACGTAAGGTGTAAGGTCCCATAGCATCACCTCCCCTCCTCCCCTCCTCTCCCTCCCCTTTTCTCCCTCTCTGTTTCAGGCAGGATGTATGGTCCCGGCGCAAGGCCGTTATCCTGGAGCACAATCTACTGGACCCCAAAAGAGCAACCACTCTAACAGCATCATTCCACTACAAACCCTTCCAACTCCCCCCCCCCCCCCACCCCCTCCCCGTACCGGCGCAAGGCCTTTATCCTGGAACGTGGCCTGCTGGACCCGAGAAGAGTGGACGGAACGATCCGAAAGGGGCAGGGGCAGAAGAAAGCGAGGAAGAGGAGGCGGCGAAACGAGGCAGGGAAGGGGAACGAGGAGGTGAAAGGGAGATGGGAGCAAAGGCGGGAGAAGGAAGGGGGGAGAAGGGCGAAGGGGGGGAGGAAATCATGGAGGAGGGAAGCGAGGAGGCGCGGGGGAGAGGAGATCAAAGGAGGAAAGGGAGATGTTATTGTGGTGCCGTGTGTTTAGGCGGTTTCTCAGTCCTGAGGAGCATAAGGGGCTGGTGTAGATAATTATCCAGGCACAAAGACTGAGGGACAGAGTGGTTGTGCTGCAGGTGAGGCTTGTGGCTCGTTTTGATAGTACCTTGCGGTATAGCAGTAGTGCTGATTCAAAATTTCCAACAAGCAGAGGGGTTGGTGCAGAGTTTGACTCAGGCGTAGAGGCTGCGAGACAGAGTAGCCGTGCTGCATGTGAGAGCAGCTTGCTTGTGGGATGTTTGGTGGTGGTGATATCACACCTGCAGAGGAAAGGGAGATGTTTTTGCGGTGCCGTGTGTTAGCGTGATTATTGTTTGTGCGCCATCTTCTGCGCTCCATTTTCCTGCTCCTTCCTCTCCCGTCTGCCAACACCCCCCCCACTCTTTGTTCCTTGCCTCTCACTCATTCTTGTTTGCGCAAGCAGCCATCAGTACGGCATCAGCAGGAGGGGTCTCGTCAGCGGCTCTGAACATCTCTTCTCAACAAGGACGTGACCTGCTTTCAGCCAAGGTAAGAAGTCCATGGGGATAAATCTGTGATCAATTATTCAAGCCGCTTTGCTATCAGCCCGGTTGGGAGCCTCGCTTCCAATGCGTGCTGTGTGCGATCAGCTACCGTGCCATCTTCCAAAGACCTTTTAAGTCGACTTGAAAGTTCCTGACACTGTAACTTTTGGGATTGGTTGGCCGGTACAGTAGTTGATAACAGAACTTACCCAGGAAAGTATCACCTCCAGTCATCCACCTCTCTTCATTCTCTTGTGCTTCTTGCCTGCCTCTGCATGTATGCCTCTTTGCTGATTTTCTAACGCTTGATCACCTTTGTTATTGATTGTATTCGACACAATCTCTTTCATTCACACACACCCTCCTTCTTCTCAACCCCTGTCCTTCCTCTTGTGCTTTTACTTTGGATCATGACAAAAGCGACTCAAGTTGTGAGGATTCTCAAAAGCGTCCCAGCAGGTTATTCTACACGATCAGTGTGGTTAAAAAATCCTTCTGTCTGCCCCAGCCACCACTGACAGCAGATGCCCTGCCTTTGGCCTCACACTGCCGTCCCCCACCCCCCTCTTCTTCCCACTCAACAATACCTATCAAATATCTCACAGCAGGCAGCGCTGACATGAGGGACCATCTCACGAGCAGTGGTCACTGACTGTTCGCTTGCCTCCTGCAACCATTGACGGTATGTACTTTGCCTTTTCTCCCTCAATTGCTTCCCCTCCTCCCGCCCAACTGAACAGGTTATTTCACAGCAAGCAGCGCTGTCAGGAGAGGCCATCTCACGAGCAGCATTGCACCGACTCTTCCGCCGTCGTCTTGCCACCAGTGACATCAGGCATCCTTCTTTCTCTCCCTTCGCCCCCCCCTCTCACCCACCAATCCCATCAGGTCATTCTACAGCAAGCCGCGCTGTCAGGACGGACCATCACACGAGCAGCAGTCACCGACTGCTCTCCCTGCTCAACCCACCACTGACAGCATGTGTGTGCCCTGCCTCGTTTCTCACACTACCCATCCTCCCAACCATATTCATCAGGTCATCCTACAGCAAGCTGCTGGGGGCCGGCTGGATAGCTGAAGCTGGGGGAAACAGTGCGGGTGCGGGGATGGGAGGGACGATGGTGAAGCAAGAGGGAATGTGAAATCAGGTTGCCTCCTGCCACCACTGTCGGGAATCCATCTTCAGACTCCTGCTGGGGGCCAGCTGGATAGCTGAATCCGCGGGGAGTGGTGCCAGTGGGGGGGATGGGAGGGGCGATGGGAGGGGGGATGGTGAAGCAGGAGGGGATGTGAGATCGCCCCCCCCCGCCAGCCACCACTAATGCCAGTTTCAGACTCTTGCTGGGTGCTGGCCGGATAGCTGAAGCTGGGGGGAGTGGTGCAGGCGGCGGGGGTATGGGAGAGGCGATGGGAGGGGGATAGTGAAGCAGGAAGGGATGTGAGATGTTCCCCCCTCCTGCCACCTCTGACGCCATCTTTAGACTCCTGCTGGGGGCTGGCTGGCTAGATAGCTGAAGCTGGTGGAAATAGTGGGGGGGAATGGGTGGAGAAATGGTGCAGCAAGAGGGAAGGTGAGATCAGGTTGTGTCCAGCCAGCAGTGGTGTCATCATCAGACTTCTGTGGGGGCTGGCTCAATAGCTGAGGCTGGGGGTGGTGGTGCTGCTGGGGTAGGTGAAAAACGGCTGTGAACCAATGGAACATGTACGTGTCTTAGCTCATATACCTAGCTTAAAAAGGGTCTTCTACTTAAATTAGGATACCATATAAATCTTATAATTACAATATGAAATGTACACGCCATACGGTAAGTTTGCTAACAATTATATGCTACATACGGGAACCTTTATCCGGTAACAGACAAAGAATCGTCGAGCCTGTGAACAGTGTTATACGCGGTGAAGTTAGGTGAGCGATAAGGAATTTGAGAATGAAAGTTCATAAAGTATTTTGCTGTTCTAGACTTAACTATAACGAATCTGTGTTCATTTGTGAAACCTTGTACAGTGTAACACTCTCACACAACGAATCTGGGGTGCACTTATAACGTAGTCATGCTGATTACCACCATAGTTCACGCCTTATTCACGCCCTCCTCTCGCCTAACGAGGATTGACGACGACGAGTCGGGTTGTACGCCCAGTGCGATAAATTTTTGTTTCGCCCACGCGTCGCAAAAGTTTGCACGGATCGTCGTGACGCCGATGGAGGACATGCGCGCGGCGCTCAGACGGGACGGGGAAGTGGGCCCGCGTCCCGACGTGCCCCACCTGGCGGATGGCGACGCCTACGTCACCGGCAAAGTCGACTGACGTCCAGAGGACACTCGGAACCGAGAAAATCTTCTACCAACCTCCCAGAGGATTAGCAGCAGAAGTTAGTTTCCAAATTCCGTGGTTGTTCTTTCTCACAAAACGCGTCAGCTCTTCCTCGTCCCAACCGGAGCCGAGTTCACCATGATGTCGGCGACGGCAAGGCTTTTGGAGGAGCTTTTGAGCGTAGAATCGAAATTAGCGGTTCGATTCGAGGATGCAAGGAGGGAGTTGGAAGCGGAACAGCGGCAGAGAGAAGAAATCACCGAGAGCCCGATGCTGACAGATAGATTGCAGAATCTGGAGACACTTTTAAGAGAAATGAGGGAGGAGAACGATAGGAAGATAAGCGAACTTAAGAACGAGTTAGCAGGTGAGAGGGCTGCAAAGGAAAAGGAGGTGGCTTCACTGACAGTGCGACTCTCGCAGGCAGAGGAATCGCTGTCGCATCAGAAAGAAGAAACGTCCAAGATCTGGGAGGTGAACGGATAAGTTTATTCAAGCTTGTTACCCCAACTAGATAATGTGATATCTACTCACTCCAGTTCTATTGTTTTTCTCACTATGTGCTGATTTCAGGCGGTTTCTCAGGCCTCGTGTCAGTCGCCAACAAGTGTAATTCCTCAGGATGATGCAGAAGCACGGGTTTCAAGAGAAGAGGTGGAATCGCTTGTGTCAGCGTCGGTAGCACAGGCAGTGAAAACGTTGGTGCAGCCAAAGGAGGAAACGAAGGACTGGGAGGTGAGACCTTGTTATAAATTGATGCTAGAAAAGGCGCGGTTGTTTCTGTTCGCCAGTCTCGCCTAGTGTTCCATCTATTTTTGGGACGTCTCAAAACTTAGTATTGGTGTTCCAGGCTATCCATGTCACTGTGAAATAGGTACCGGCCAATGCATGTTTGAGGATCGTATATTTTCGCGATGACACAATTTGTAGTAACGCTGCGCAGCAACGATTGGGTAGATCCTGATCCTGGATTTCACCTCCCTGGCTTGACACCCTGATCCTGCTCCTCCCGCTCCCTTTCCAGCAAAGCTTGAGCAGGGAGGAGGAGTACAAGCGCAAGGGAAGTGTTGTGACATTTCCCTCCCCATGGAACCGTTTGCATGACTCCTGTGTGTATTTGCGTCTACTCTTCTCCCCCCACTCCCCAGATGCAGTTGAAGCGGGAGCAGGAGGAGCAGGAGGAGGAGCGGAAGCGCAAGGAGAAGGCGGAGGCGCACCTGTTCACGGTCATCAAGGTGTCGCGAGACAAGGACCTGTGGGAGCAGATCGGCAGTGACCAAATCTTCGATCTTGTAGACCACGAGCACGTGACGAGTTTCCGCTTGCCAAACCAGATGTGCTTTGCGGACTTCCAGAGGGAGGTGGAGAGGGAGGTTGGCGTTCCGGTGGCAGGCCAGCGGTTTTGGCTGTGGGGGCGTCGGCAGAACCACACGTACCGCCCCAAACGGCCCCTTAACGTTGAGGAGGAGAGAATGACGGTGAGACAGGGGAAGGGAGGGGAGAGGGAGGGAAAGTGAGAGAGTGATTGAGAAAAGGAAGTAGAGAGGCTGTGTGAGGGTAAAAGCGGTTCTGGCTGTGGGCGCGTCGGCAGAACCACACGTATCGCCCCACGTGGCCGCTTACTGCCGAAGAAGAGGGCATGACGGTGAGAGTGGGGGAAGGCGGGGGAACGGGGAGGGGGCGGTGGAAGGCGAGAAAGAGTGAGAGTGAATAGCGTCCAGAACACTTTGTTCTGTCCCTCCCTACCCCGATGCCTCTCCGCTCCAGTCCCCTACTACACTCTGTTCATACCCTCCCTCCCCTGATTCCCCTCCGCTCTAGTCCCACTCTGTTCGGTCTACCCAGGTGGGGCAGCTTAGGGACTCAGTATGCAGGGCACACGCAATGGACCTGCATCTGCTCTCCCAATCCTTTCCAACCCTATTCTCCCGTCCCTTCCCTTCTCCGACCTGCCTCCTCTTTCAGGTACGACAGCTGAGGGACTCAGTGAGCAGGGCACACCGCACGGACCTGCGTCTGTTCCTAGAAGGCTCGCCAACCCCCCCTGTAGGTCCTCTCACCCCCTTATTGCTGCATTTCAATTCCTCATGAGGCTACTTGTGAGTCGTCTCGTTCCCCTTCCCTTACCTGTAACCCGATTGCACCACTGCCACACAGACGGTATTCCTTCCTTTACTCCCCCCACCCCTCTCACTCCCTCCCTCCTATCCATTAATTTCCTCCCCGTCCCGATCCCTCCCTCCCATCCTTCGTTGACCTGGAGGTGACTCTCTAAGTTGATGCAAGATTCCCCAACCTACCCATTTCCCCCCTCCTTCGTAACCTGACTACACCAGAACCGGCCAGTGGCTCCGCTGCATGAGAGGGCCAAGGACGACATTCTGCTCTTTCTCAAGTTCTACAACCCACTGACTGAGACGCTTAGGTGAGAGACACTTGGATGAGATTTTTAAGTGAGACATGCTTAGGTCAGAGATGCTTAGGTGGGAGATGCTTTGGTGAGAGATGCATAGGTGAGAGTCGTTTATAGGAGGATGGTCAGTTTGGAAAGCAGGGGTGCAATGCAGGCTTGGAAAACACTCCTCCTCCAATCCTCCTCTCCCCCCCTGTTCCCCTCTTCCACTTCCATGTCCACCCCCTTCCTCTGTAGGATATTGGATTGTCATTTTGTGAAGCTTGGGAAAACCGTGCCACGCCTTTCGATGCATTGTTTATATGTCTTGAATATCTCCCTTTTCCTGTTCACACTCTTTCCCTAACCTCTCCCTCCTCTCCACTGTCTCCTTTTTCCACCTCCCTTTGCAGGCACGTCAGTTCGTGAAGCTCGACCAAAAAGCACCTTTTGATGTAAATTTTCACACATACAGAATGTATACTCTTACCCTTCTCCCCTCTCCGTCCTCTCCCTTTCTCTTACAGGTACGTGGGTCGTCTCTTTGTGAAGCTTGGGCAGACTCCTGCCGATGTGCGAGGGAAGATCAACGAGATGTGTGGTCTCTCTTTCACGGATGACATCCTTCTCTTTGAGGTGCGTGTGGTGCGTGAGGAGGATAGTACTTTTAGTGCTGAGTGTTGATTTGATTCAAGAGGGAAGGTCAACCAGATGTGTGGCCTCTCTCGCACAGACAACATTCTGCCAATACTTGTGCAGCATTTGCCAAAAAATGGAGCACTCATAGCCCAGGAAACTCAGCCGTCTCCCCTTCCCCTCCCCCCCCCTTCCCTCCTCCTCCAACACGCAGGAGATAAAGTTTGAGCCGAGTGTGATGTGCGAGGCCATGGACTGCACGGTCACATTCAGAGGCGGGCAGCTGGAGGATGGCGACATTATCTGCGTGCAGCGCGCCAAGCCACTCGCCCGAGAGGGTGCGGCGGCTGGGGCTGCCGGGAGTGGTGGGAGTACGGTGAGGTACCCCGACGTGCCGTCCTTCTTGGAGTATGTGCGCAATCGGCAGGTGGTGCACTTCAGACGCCTGGAGAAGCCCACAGAGGACTCTTTCTGCCTCGAGCTGTGAGTTCCCAACCTCTGGTTGAGCTCTCTTTCTTGGTAAGTGAGTGGGACTAGGAGTTTGCCCTAGGAGTCAGATATCTTGTGAGGTGGGTGGGGTGCACAACCGGTAGGTGGTGCATTTGATCGTCTTTGTCTGAATGCCTTCTTCTTGTTGCTACCCAACCTGGACAAATCCGAAGGTGGGCATCCTCTGCCGCGTGCTGTCTGTAAGTGCTCAGTGCCGTTGGGTCTCCCACTGACATGATGGTGAGGTGAGTCGGTGACAAGGCTGGTAGAGGAGCTAGGGCTTTACTTCTCGTCCGAGACCCACCACTCACACCAGGCTCCATACCCTCTCCTTCCTCCACCATCCTTCCTGCGGCAACAAGCAGCACGCGTATGAAGTCGTGGTGGCGAGGCTAGCAGAGGACCCTTCCAAGATCTGCCTCACCATGCGCAGATGCAACTCAACCTAAGCCGCCTCCCGTCAAGCTCGCCCTTCTGTGTTGCTCTGCTCCCTCTCCCTCTCCCTCTCCCTCTCCCTCTCCATCTCCCTCTCCCTCTCCCTCTCCCTCTCCCTCTCCCTCTCCCTCTCCCTCTCCCTCTCCCTCTCCCTCTTCCTCTCCCTCTCTCCCCGGCAGCTCCAAGGAGAACATGTATGACGACGTGGTGGCGAGGCTGGCAGAGGAGATAGGCCTGGACAACCCTTCCAAGGTCCGACTCACCACGCACAACTGCTACTCGCAGAAGCCCAAGCCGCCGGCCATCAAATACCGAGGCGTGGACTGCCTGGCTGACATGCTCGTGCACTACGACCAGGTGAGGAGAAGGGGAAGGATTAGCATATGGAATGTGTCTGGGGTAGGTTTACCGAGACTCTAACTCACTGCAGCCGGCCGTCAAGTACCGAGGCGTGGACTGCCTGACCAACATGCTCGTGCACTTCAACCAGGTGTGGGTGGGGGGAAGAAGAATTGGCATATGGGGTACGTGTGGGCTAGGTTTACCGACTCTAAATCAATGCCACCCTCCCATCAAGTACCGAGGCACGGACTGCCTGGCTGACATGCTCGTGCACTACAGCCAGGTAGGGGTATAAAGGACGGGAGGAAGGGGGGCTTGGTGAGGTACAGCGTTCGGGTTTGGTTTATGGGGTAAGGGTTATGGGTGTCATTATGCACAACTGTCACCCGCAGCAGCCCAAGCCCCACCGACCGCCCATCAAGTACCAAGGCGTGGACAGCACATGCTCATCTTCGTAAATTCCCCGAATCCCCCTCCATTATTCCCCTTTGTCTTGCAGTCCTCTGATATCCTCTACTTCGATACACTCAACATCCCTCAGCATTAGCTGGGCCTAGGGCTGCTATGGCCACTGCCTTATAATTCCCCCTTTCCGTCTTCCCCTTTTCCGTCTTCTGTCGTCTGTGTCTTGCAGTCGACAGACATCCTCTATTTCGAGACGCTCGACATCCCGCTGCCAGAACTGCAGCAGCTCAAGACTCTCAACATCACGTTCCACAACAGCAAGGCAGAAGAGGTGAGGGGAGGGAGGTGAGGGGGAAAGAAGAAAGGTGTGGGTGGTGAGAGCATGGCGGATTAGGTGAGAGCAAGTTGTGTGGGTGGTGAGAAAGGTATGCGCGTGTTTGTATTAATGGGAGCTGCAGCGAAGCCTCCTTAACGTCACATTCCACAATAGCAAGGTGAAGGCGGTGTGGGGAGAGATGTGAGCTGATAAATAGGTGCATGCATTTTGTTCTTGTAGATTTGCACCCGCTTATCAAACCTGCTCCTGCCGATGTCTCACCCATGGGTGTTCTTTTTTGGTTCGTGGTGCTCTTTGCTGCAAGAAACAGGTTCGAGATGAATACGCAATGGATCTTGCTAGTTTGAGGTCTGATAATTGTCTAATCAAACCAAACCGATTCGTACCGAGCAAAGAAAGAGTTGGAGTTTGGAACCAGCTCTAACGTTTTGGTATTTCAATCAATTGAGAATGCAGTCGCGGAGTTGGCCGCATAGTCCTGCCCGATTTGTTTCGAACCGGAAACGGGGTTTGACGTGGCTAGAGATAAATACCACAGTGGAATTGCTCGAACCGTCGAACTGGTTCGACATGAAACAGGTTTGGTCCGTTTCGAACCAGATGCCAAACAAATTGTGTTCGGCTCTGTTTGCATCGAATCGTACTGCGGTTGGATCTTTTCTCAAGCCTAGTTCTGGGTACTGTCCATGCTTCATTCATGACCTGCCTCCTCTTCCCAGGTGTCGGTGCACAACATTAGGATGCCCAAGAAATCTACGGTGGCAGATGTGCTTGCGGACCTAAAGACCAAGGTAATGGAAGGTGGAGATGCTTGCGTTTCAGTCAGTACCCTCCAGCAGGGTGTTTCAATTTTCGAAGCAGACCTCAAATTTCTTTGAAATTTCTCAACCCGCCCTTCAAAGCAGAAGACACATTCTCCCCCTGTCCCACCTCTCTGTGAAGTTCTTGAGTTGAAATCGGACCTCACACACACCCCACACTGCGTGCAAACCTCAAAACTGATGCATCCATATAGTGCAAGGAGCTGTGTGAGAGTCTGATTATGCTAACGTTGTGCAGGTTTGCTTCCGGTGCATCTGCAACGGAATCTTTCATATCTCCCCTACACTCGACACCAACCTTGCCCCCCTGTACCCCTCCGTACCCCTCTGTCCCAGTCTTTCTAAACCTGTTCAGGGTGGAACTGTGGCATCCTAAGGCAAAGTTGCAGATGCTGCAGGTGTTCAGCAACAAGATCTTCCCTACACTCTATACCAACCTTTCTGCCCTGCCCCTCCGTACCCCTCTGTCCCTGTCGGTACCATTTGTATCCCTGTTAAAGGTGGACCTGTGACACCCTAAAGCAGAGTTGCGGATGCTGCAGTTGCTCTACAAAAGGAACTACAAGATCTTTCTCGCTACCATACCAACCCTGCTGCACTGTTCCTATCTGTACTGTACCCCTCTGTACTGCTCTGTACCGTTTGCACCTTCTCTTTCAGGTGGAGCTGTCACACCCCAAGGCGGAGCTACGGTTGCTGCAGGTGTTCTACAACAAGATCTACAAGATCTTTCCTCTTACTGAGCAGATTGAGTACATCAACGACCAGTACTGGGGCATAAGGGCAGAGGAGGTGAGATGAGGTAGCAAAAATGGAAAGGATAATCCAATCCACGTGTACATCAACATTGCGCCCAATCACCCCCAACAACTCGTGACCAACAACAGCACGTCCCCCACCCCCCAACCAATTCGTGGTAAGTATAATTGACCCCACCTCTACACATTTCTCATCCAGTTGTCATCCTTGTTCTCTGTTGAGCTATGTCTACTCCAGTCCCATCTCCCGGCACTCAGCCTTCTGGTCTGTCTACTCAGCCTACTGATCCGTCAGCCTCGACCTCGGAGGCGCAATGGCAGGAGGAGGATAGTGCACATGTCGTTTTCAAGCACTTCAAGGTTCCCATCCGCCCCGACACCGTCGGGGCTGTCCGCGTTTGCAAGTATTGCGCCATCGAGTTCAAGGGTGGTGCGTTTCGATGCGCTCAGCATCTTGCAAAATGGAAGGGACAGAGATCTCGCGACGTCCGCCTGTGCAGGAAGGATCCGCCCGACGTGCGAGCGGCGGTGCGCGCGCATTACGAGAAGAAGGCAGCCAACCGCGACGAAAAAAGGCGGGCCGAGGATGCTGCACTCGACGCTGTCGTGGGAGGTGCGAAGAAAGGCCGCATCACCGACTTCATTGGCGACGAGGCGAAATGCAAGAAGGGGCAAGGCGGACAACTCCGTCTGCTTGTTCTTCGCCGGCTGTCGCATTCCCGAACACCACGCCGACAACCCGTTGTGGCGCAACATGGTCAGGGCCATTAACAACGCACCTCACGGTTATGTCGCGCCGCGGCGGAACTACGTGGGAGGAGCTGGGCTGAAGCAATGCCGCACGGGCATCGAGAAGGGGCTTCAGCCATCGCCGCGAGTTGGAAGAGGGATGGCGTCACCGTCTCCTCCGACCTGATGACCGATCGGTGCGGGAGGCCGCAGGCGAACGTCATGCTGGTCAACAATTCGGGAGCGGTGTTTGTCGAGGCTATCAACTGCAATATGGAGTCAAAAACCGGCGGCTACATCGCGTCCCTCCTCCGCCCCATGGAGCTGATGGCGGATTGGCCGCACATCGAGTATGTGCCGTGCGCTACGCACGTGCTCGACCTCCTGATGGAGGACGTGGGCAAAATCACGTGGTGCAAGGACATTGTGGATCGGTACGGGGACATGATCATCTACGTCCGCAACCACCATTTCACCCGCAATTACCTGAGGAGTGGGGCGGTGAAGGGAGGAAAGGGGAAGCAGCTTGTGAAGCCGGCGGGGACCAGGTTCGGCACCAACTATATCGCCCTCTCCAGGCTCGTCCAGCTGCGGTCCACATTGTCGCAGATGGTGCTGAGCGAGGAGTACGCCAACTGGTCAGCGGGGACTAGGAAGCTGACGGCAGATACCTTCCACGGCCACGTCATGGATGACGAATGGTGGATGAATGCTACCTACCTGGTGGAGCTCTTGGCGATTCCGTTCAAGGTGATGCGGGCCACGGACAGCAGCGCGAATGGCATGATGGGAACCATCTACGACCTTATGCTCCAGCTGACCGAGGACGTGAACGCCAAGCTGGAAGCGGGGGAGAATATTCTGCCGCGGGCGGTTGCGGCTGATATTGGGAAGATTGCTAGGCGCCGTTGGGACGAGAGCCTTGCTTGCGCTCTTCACGTCGTGGAGCGGATCCTGAACCCGGCAAATCAGGACGAGGGTATTTTTCGCAACGACGTGGAATGTACCCGCATCTTCAAGGCGTTCATCGCACGTCACTACAACGGCAAGACCTTCACCAACAAAGACGGCGAGGAGAAACGGGCCTCTCTTGTTTTGCAGGAGGGGCTCACGGCCTTCCTCACCCTTGAAGGCTCCTTCGGCCTCCCTGAGGCAATTGCCGACAGGGAGGCCGTGAAGGCAGGCAAGCACTCGATGGTGCAGTGGTGGGGATGGGATGGGACTGACCACCCCCACCTGGCCAGCCTTGCGTGCCGTGCCCTGACACAGCCAGTGTCGGCCTCGCCGTGTGAGCGCGGGTGGGCATAAGCAACAACATTTAAGCTTGTGTATCTAAGCTTCTGTAGTTGGGGACCGACCAAGGCAACCCTTACACCTTCTCCTCCTATGCACATTCCACCTTCCCCAATTGTCTTCGCCCGCCCCCCGCCAGGTGTTTGACGATGGCTCCACCTTTCACCCATCAGGCCTCGTCATGTCAGAGGACGATCTGCTGGGCCACTTCGCCTCCCCACTGCCCCTCCTCTGCACCTCAACCCGGAACCCTAAACCCCGTTGTAATCCTACGTATCCCCTTTTCTCCTCCTCCCAGGAGTTTGACGACGGGTCCACCTTCCACCCCTCAGTCCTGGACATGTCAGAGGACGACCTGCTGGGCCACTTCACCACACTCCACCCCTTTGCACCCTGCTGAACTTGAAACCTTTCTGTACCCCTGTGTATCTCCTTGTACCCCTCTGTTTCTTGCCAGGTGTTTGACGATGGGTCCAACTTCCACCCCTCGGTCCTGGACATGTCAGAGGACGATCTGCTTGGCCACTTGGCCTCCACCTTCAACCCAACCCTTGAACCCTAATGTATCCCTACGTATCCCTCTTAACCACCTTCAGGTGTTTAACGACGGCTCTACCTTCCACCCGTCAGTCCTGGAAATGTCAGAGGACGATCTGCTCGGCCACTTCGCATCCGGTGTGGCCAACGTGGCCGCCATCTCCCTCGGTGCCGACTACCCCACGCTCGCCGCCGTGCCGCACGTGTTTGCCAACTCGTACAAGAACGTCATTGCTGTTGCGCTTGCTCTGGATGATAATACCTTCCCCCTGGCCGACAAGGTCAAGGAGATCCTTGCGGTGAGTCCTTCCCACCTCCTTTCTCTCCGAGTGAGTGCTGCCTTGCACATCAGCCGTGTGCCCCCTGCTTGTCCCCACGCTCGCCGCCGTGCCGCACGTGTTTGCCAACTCGTACAAGAACGTCATCGCTGTTGCTCGCGCCCTCGATGATTACACCTTCCCTCTGGCCGACAAGGTCAAGGAGATCCGTGCGGCAAGTCCATTCCCCCTCTCACGCTTCCCCCCTCGCTATCATGGCCCCTCCTTTCTGTGGCACCTGTCCGTTTTTTCTATCAATGGCTTCTGTGTTTCCTTGCCCATTTTCCTATCAATGCTTTCTTTAATCACTTGTCTCCGCCCCATCATGCTTCTCCTGATCCTTACCCAAACCCGCTTTCCAGGATCCTTCCAAGTTCATGGTGGCAGCGGTGGCGGCGGCGCCGGCAGCAGCAGCTGAGTCGGCCAAGGAGGAGGCCAAGCCGGCAGAGGAGGAGAAGGAGGAGTCTGACGACGACATGGGCTTCAGCCTCTTCGACTAGATGCACTGCTCTGCTCGGCTTTCGCAGGCTTCAGCCTCTTTGACTAGATGCGCTGCATTGCAGTTGCAGGCTTTCATTCCAGCCTGTGATTTGATCGAATGCAGAGCTTCTGTTGTATGGTGCTGCAGTTGGGAAATGTTTGGATTTGAGCCCCTGTATTCTGCTGCTTGCAAATGGTACAAATACTTGTACCAAACAAGAGAGTCAGACCCATCCATCTTTGTCCAGTTTGTTATATCATATCTCTGTTTGCATGTGATCTGTTGTCACTGCCGAACAAGGAGTATCGTAGTGATGCAAGAATGAGAGGGAAGGAATGGGATGGGACACAATTTCTACACATTTGGCGAGATAATATGATAGATTGATTTTTGCAATGGCGTTGGCAGAATTCCTTCACAACACGAGTCGGTGAAGCAGGGTTGTAAATGTGCAAATGTGGCAACTTCAACGCTTTTGCTGTTCTATGCACAATCGGTGATGCTAGTTATAACAAAAAGTTGTAGGAGTAGACCAAGAGGGTTTTTTTTGCTACAAAATTCTCTAAAAAGGGAGGTCCAACCCATTGCCAATTTCCACGCCAATCAACTCAAGAATTCCTCTGCCAGCAACCTGCAGCAGGAACAGGCAGGACGAAAAAGCAGTTAGAAAATGCAGATGTACAGACAGAAGAGCATGTTGCCTAGAATAATGAAGGGCAAGCCACAACTAAACAGGACCAATTTCGGAGCTCTTGAGACTTCATGCTATTATCCCCAATGCATGCAGTCTCATGACTCCGACATATGATCTTCTCCGTCTGGTGTTTTAACAGCGCTCTCCTAAGCCAGTGCCTGCCAGCCATCTTTCCGACAAATCAACGACATAAGAAAATCTGACAAACCAGCGCATCCGAGCTTACTAAAACCTCTCAAGCCAGCTCTGTGAGCCGCCTTCTCATGGGTGAATAGAGAGCACCTCATGATGTCAGGCTTGCGTTTTGGGAGGAATGTCATGCAGCATACGATAGAACATGCGACTCACCGCTTCCAAGATAATGACCCCGAACAGCCCAATCATGGCGGCTCGCGAGTTCCACGACTCCGCATTCTCGGTGAAACCCCAGAACGGCTTTGGAATGTTGGGCTCCACTTTAGGTGACGGGACCTGCAAGAACGGGGATGAGGTGTGATAAAACGGTAAATTTCACGATCTCTAACTTGTGTAGCGACATTGAGGATAAGTCATTGAGCCAAATGACTAGGGGAGGAAGACGATGAATAAAGGATTGTCAAAGGGTGAACTGAAATGCCATGGACCGACTGACTGTGATGAGGTATTTTCCTTCAACGTTCTTTTCAACAATAAACTCGAGCTAACGTGTGACGACTGTCACTGCAAGTTTTGGCCGATGGCCGGTTTGCCAGGTTGATTCAACAGCGCACACGAGTCGTCAGGTCCCGGCTACGATGGAGAGAATTTTGAGAATTCGCACGAGTCACTCCAATGAAGAGACGCAACAAACCTACTGGTATTGTTCACTCTGCCTACACAACGGAACTAGTATTAAGTAGCAGTAGAATGCGCACTCACCCCAGCGGGAAGCTTTGCTGCTCGCACGGTCACTGATCGCCGAGCTGGCAACACAGGAACGGCTGCTGGTCGTTGAAGTCTTCTGAGGCTGGCAGTTCCAGCAGCGACGGAGAGGCTCGAGAGCGAGCACGAGGTGCACGTAGCCAAGGCAGCCATTTTACACGTACTTTTCACTACGCCTTTCGAAGGGCTATGTACGTGCTGGCGTGAACACCTCGAAGGCCTGCTAATGTCTCGAAGAAAGAAGTGGAACTCGGTACTCGAGCTACTTGGATGGTAAGGAAGGTTAAGGTTAAGGTTATATAAGGTCGTAACCATGTACAGCAAAGCATAGAGCAGCTAGATATATGGTCTACACAAACCAACAGCCCAAAGGCGTACGTTGGAAACACGTTATTTCCATATCCAAAGGATAACCACCAGCACGGCTGGGGAGCTCTCTATGCTCAAAAAAAAGGGAAAGGGCTAGGGGGGGCGGAAGGAGTCCCCAAACAGCCAGGAAGCGCGGAGGTCCGGGTAAATAGAAGGTGTTCCGTCATGGTCGAAAACGAGGAAGCGAAGTCGAGTTGCTAGCTTGATGCGGGCGGCTGAGCGTCGTTGTTTTTTCACTGATTGGAACTTATGTTCACAGCGCGCGTTCCAAATAGATTTTGCAGATGCCCCAACCAGAAGGCTCCATGGGGCCACCTGGCCAGCTCTGGAGATGAGCGGAAAGCAAGAGCTCGGGAGGAGGATAGCAAGAGCTCGGGAGGAGGAGAGCAGTGAAGGTGACGACGAGCAACGGAGGAGAGAGCGGAAATCACTGCAGGGGCTGTTACGATATGAAGATGTATGAGAAGGCATTCCTGTATGCTACAGGAGCCGACTCTACCGAGTACGAAGTCGAGGAGTCATAAGAGTCGAAGCGACACTGGTAACCGTCTGATCAAGACCGATGCAGGCAGAAACAATTGAAATGAAAAGAGCGGGAACAGGTTTGAAACGGGTTCCCGCGCCGCACGGTTTGAATTCGCTGCAATAAGGGAATGTACCCCTTAGAGTACATGGCTAGCTTAGGTCTTTTCGTATTCCCTTGTACTCTTATATAAACCCGATGTATGCATGCTATTATCATCTCAGTCATTTACATTCACTCTGACCTGGGTTCATTACTTCCGCTGCAAACACTACTCTGCGATCAACCCTGAGCGATCCTTTGCTAAGTCCCACTTGGGATTGTACCATGGTATGAGAGCTACTCAGGGATTCTTCGCGACGTCACTTCCGTAAAATTCGCCCAACCTAAATCTGGCGAGCGGCACACGCTCCAAGACCAAGATGGCCGGAGGATCCGGAGGCCAAGCAAATCTAACGGCTGAAGGACAAACCAACCCGGTTGCGACAAATGAGGCGACAACCACGATCGGCACTGCCGCACTCGAGCAGCTATTCGCTCGACTTTCTACTATGGAGAAAGAGCTCCATGAACTGCGCAAAGGCGATGCGGGAACCTCTTCCCAACCAGCTCAACCTGGACAACCGGCTGCGAAAAGCCGTGATACCGCCGCGCACACCTTCTCCCTCGACACAGACAAATCAACAACAACTGCCCCCCGTCCAAGTGATGAAGTCATCAACTCTGCGCAAGCACGCTTTCTCAACGTTTCAAAAATCAAGACTACTGCCGCATTTGACGGCAAGGATTTTTACACATGGAGTTTCGAGCTTGAGCTCCTCCTACAGACAGCGCAGATCTACCACTGCTTCGACGGCTCCTATCCTAAACCGGTGGAAAACACCGACGACGCCAAGGCTCAGTACTACAGCGAGTCCCTCATGGCATACAGTGTGCTGCTACGAAACATGACGCCTGCGGAACAACTCAGTATCCGCTCCTACAAAAAGAGCGCCGCTCCAGCCTTGGAAGCCTGGAAGCACCTCGTTGAGGTATATCAGCCGAAGGACTCGGTCACCGCCAGCAGGCTCCTGCAGAAACTCATGGAGACAAAGATGGGGCACGGGGAGAAAGCGAATTCCTATATTAACAGCTGTCGGAATATCCGTGACCAGATCACGAAGCATGGGAGCGCAATCTCGGAAGAGATCTTCGTCAACATAGTCCTTCAAGGACTCGGGCCAGAGTGGAAGCCCTGCAAAGCACTACTCCGACAACGCGGAATCATGTCTGAAGCCGCGCTATGCGCCGCTCTCCTGACTGAACAGCAGGACATGGACTCGAGCAGAACAAGCTCCGCGCCGCGCCGAGAGCGCCTCACCTTCTACACAGACAACCGTGAAGAGCGACGACAACCAAGGCGCCACTATTGCAAAATATGCAAAGTCTTCGGACACTCAACGGATCGATGCAAATCCCGATCCAGCTATCGCCACCCAAATTCCACTCACCACAACAACTGGGTCGGCCGACAAGACGCTCGTCATTCTCAGCCCCAGCATCAAAACTTTCGTCCCCCTGTACAGCACCACCAACAGCAAGGACAAGGACCTCAAGCAGGAGCTCCCAGAAACGTGATAGCGAACATGGCGGCAAGGCGTCGCCCTCGCGCTGCTGAACCAGACGAAGAGGACAAACTTCGCGGTGGGCTGATTGAACCAGAAGAAGGATGGAATAATCCTCTCACCGAAGACCACTACTATCAGTATGACGAAGACGAGCAAGATTGGCATCTGCCAATAACACTGCGGGAAATCCTGCCACATGACAATCAGCAGTACGTACCTGTGGGATGGAAAGAAGACGAAGACCCATTCTTCCACAGACGCTACAAGGCAACCCTGGTGACCCCGCGACTCGCACTACTCCTACGCAGAAACAACACCGACAATCACAACACCTGGTACCTGGACAGCTGTTGCGGGCAGTACATGGTGGGATCTGTTCGTTACGTCTCGAACCTCAGCCACGCCCCCGCCACCTATGTCACCGTCGCCAACAATGAGCAGCTGCGCACCAATGCACAAGGCATCGTGGTCCTGCAAGCACGAGACAGCAACACACACATCTCGTTCAACGACGTGCTCTACGTCCCGGACCTTCGCTTTAACCTACTCTCAGCAGGGCAACTCAGAGATTGCGGAGTCATGATCGCCACGAATCCAGATACACGCGACCTCCTCCTTACCTACGCACCGCCGGACACCCCTCCTGAGTCGCACAAGTTACTCGGACGAGCTCGGTCGATCAACGGCATCTACGTCCTGGACTTCGACATCCCGAGCTGTCAAGCATCATCAGACGAGCTCGTGGACCTCATCCCCCTTGACTTCCCTTTCATGAGCCAAGAGTCATGGCAACACCCAGACGGACGGCCGTGGATTCGTCGCAGCCCTCATCCCCGCGAGATCAACCTGCACGAGCCCGACATCAATGGGCTCTGCACCACCTGCCACACACCCACGGCAAGCCGCACGGAGCAAGTGGAGAAAGA